GAAGAGTTCACTTAGTGCTTTTTAGACTGCAGCACTTGAGGAAGAGGAGGAGGAGGGTGGGACTTCCTTGCCTTGTGCATGGAGGCACTGAAACTTGCACCAAGCACATTTCTGACAACAAAACAGGAAAGGCACAGACCAGTTGGTTTGTTTGTCACAGGTGCTTAGCTGCTGAAGATAAGCCTGAGCCAAAGTGGAGCCGGTCCTCTATCCTTCAATGCAACAATCCTGTTCCTCAATTTCAAACTTAGTGCTCTTGAATTAAAAACAGCCACACCCAATAGAGACTATGATAAACTTTTTAAAAAAAACTATGATTGTACTTCATGTTTTACTAACTGATCATTGACTAATTATGTGTGTGCATGCATATATATATATATATATATATAGAGAGAGAGAGAGAGAGAGAGATAGATAGACTGATTGATTTCTGGATCCAATGTTTGTGTGCGTCATAGTAGTGGGGGTTATGATATATTACATAATTACATTCATTTTAAATAAATGTTTCAATAGTACAATTTAATAACATAATTAAACAATTATATTATATTATGTTATTAAATGAGAACATGGAGTATTTTAAATCCTGATAATTTTAGCTTTTGTAATGACTGTCAAAGAACATAATTCACTCTGACTCAAAGTTTGACAAAGTGTATGTATGCATATCTGAAAAATGGCCCTGTGTCTGAAACCTACTCCACATAAATCACAAAAGAGGGGTGTAGTGGAAAATATCCAAGAGGAATAGCCCTGCTCCCAAGAGTCCCTATCAGTGAACAGAGTGGTTTCCTGCTTTTGTGAGATGTGGTTCATTAATGGCTGACAACCTTTCTTTTGCACATGCACACTGACACGCAAAGGACCCCCACTACTCTCACACATGCACACAGTGGATCCAGATATGTTCAAATATAGATTCACATATAAGCTAATGCAATCATTTGACCGTTTATCAACCTTATCTTACATATGCTTGTGAGAGGTCATACATTATGAACACTAAGTTAAACAGGGTTGTCTAAGAAGTTCTTAGTATGTAAATATTTGCAAAGCGCCTTATCTTCATGAGCAGACCCTTAACACTGATACACGTCTGCCTGTGTTTTCCTACTTGCATTTCTTACGATAAGTACTGAGAATTTCAACTGCAGAAGACTCTGTAGGCTGCTTTTATACGATACTGAACACATCTGTATAAACCAATAGTTAATTCCAGTAAAGATTCCATTGAATGCTCCACTGGACATTGTTGCATTTCTAAAAGGGAGGGTCTATAATCTACCTCCCAAAGATTGCGGTGCAAGGCCACCACACCCCCCTCATACTTCACTTTCTGCCATTCACACAAAGCAGGCCTCTATTGAACATTCTGTCAGGAGAGGAGACCAAACGCTAGGACATTGAAGTAGCTATTTTTCCCTGAAAGAAAAGCAGGAGGGCGGGAAAACGGACTAGAATAGAGTAGACAATCATTTATAGGACACTGCATGAATAAGCCCTGTCCTGAGCATTAAGCAACTCTTATGTCCACTGTGGAATAAAAACCCCTCCAAACATCCAGATCTTGTTCAAAAATGCCTTTATTAGAAGTTCTATGGAAAAAAAAATATATATATATATATAAACAACATACAGTACAAGTTTATGCTGCACACTTTGTATACATACTCCAACTCCAGCTGACGTTCGTTTATTACATTCAGTGTTGCTTTACTTCATCTAAAAAGTTAAAGTAATAGTTATTAACCAACTACAAAACTTAATATCCCCAGTCAGCATGTCTAGAGAAGCACCGTTGAAAGACAGAGAATCTTTCATTAGGAATGGTGCGTTCAAATATTCTAAAAGTAGAAAAATAAACAACGAAATAGCATCTCACTCACCATAACAAAGGCATCTTGATCTAGGAGCTACATTCAATTCGATTGGCTTTAGATATACACCAAAGCAACTGCTTTATTAGGTTAAACTATGTGGGATCTTCAACCCTAGCAGGCACATATTAGCTAGTTATTAACCTCTAGATAGGAGAGTGCTACATTCTCTGGCACTAGACCGCAATCGTCACACAACTGGATTTTTTTTTGCGCAAAGTTTAATTATTTCCTCAGCAACCAGCACGGATCAGCTCCAGGCATGACGAAGCGATATCGTCCTCTTTTGGAAGGCCAAACGAAGTAGTTTCGCTTTCACAACGAAACACACAGCGCCTTCACGACATGGCGGCGACGGCAACAATACTACAGCGAGAATAAAAGTCACGCCTTCTTTCTTTGCGTGAACATTTGGGCGGCGTTATGCAAATTTTCCCATATAGTGAGGTAGATATGTGGGGGCGTGTTAGAACGAGCCGTTTTAGGTAGGTGTGGCTGACTCTTAACTTTTATAAAGAATATTTCTTTGGATTTGAGACTTTAGTCTTTGCAACTTTACAGATCTTCTTTATGCACCAAGAGCTTGTAACACTCCAAAGAGAAAGGAAAAAATTAAATCGCATCATATGACCCCTTTAAACACAAATTTGGAATTTTTGTGTTTGTCTGCAAAGTAGACGTCCAGGCATCTTTCTTTAACCCACAGGAGTTAGGTAATGATTACATGTGAACATCCCATTTCCAGTTAGGAGAAACAGAAAGGCTATTCTCTCTCATCAGCCTTGCGCTCAAGGTCAGTTTCGTGTACGCTTCATACTGACGTCACCGTAGACTCTAACATAGAAAACTGTATGTTAATGTGTGTGTGCTTGACCTATTTACATAGAGAGAGAGAGAGAGAGAGAGAGAGAGAGAGAGAGATAGATAGACTGATTGATTTCTGGATCCAATGTTTGTGTGCGTCATAGTAGTGGGGGTTATGATATATTACATAATTACATTCATTTTAAATAAATGTTTCAATAGTACAATTTAATAACATAATTAAACAATTATATTATATTATGTTATTAAATGAGAACATGGAGTATTTTAAATCCTGATAATTTTAGCTTTTGTAATGACTGTCAAAGAACATAATTCACTCTGACTCAAAGTTTGACAAAGTGTATGTATGCATATCTGAAAAATGGCCCTGTGTCTGAAACCTACTCCACATAAATCACAAAAGAGGGGTGTAGTGGAAAATATCCAAGAGGAATAGCCCTGCTCCCAAGAGTCCCTATCAGTGAACAGAGTGGTTTCCTGCTTTTGTGAGATGTGGTTCATTAATGGCTGACAACCTTTCTTTTGCACATGCACACTGACACGCAAAGGACCCCCACTACTCTCACACATGCACACAGTGGATCCAGATATGTTCAAATATAGATTCACATATAAGCTAATGCAATCATTTGACCGTTTATCAACCTTATCTTACATATGCTTGTGAGAGGTCATACATTACGAACACTAAGTTAAACAGGGTTGTCTAAGAAGTTCTTAGTATGTAAATATTTGCAAAGCGCCTTATCTTCATGAGCAGACCCTTAACACTGATACACGTCTGCCTGTGTTTTCCTACTTGCATTTCTTACGATAAGTACTGAGAATTTCAACTGCAGAAGACTCTGTAGGCTGCTTTTATACGATACTGAACACATCTGTATAAACCAATAGTTAATTCCAGTAAAGATTCCATTGAATGCTCCACTGGACATTGTTGCATTTCTAAAAGGGAGGGTCTATAATCTACCTCCCAAAGATTGCGGTGCAAGGCCACCACACCCCCCTCATACTTCACTTTCTGCCATTCACACAAAGCAGGCCTCTATTGAACATTCTGTCAGGAGAGGAGACCAAACGCTAGGACATTGAAGTAGCTATTTTTCCCTGAAAGAAAAGCAGGAGGGCGGGAAAACGGACTAGAATAGAGTAGACAATCATTTATAGGACACTGCATGAATAAGCCCTGTCCTGAGCATTAAGCAACTCTTATGTCCACTGTGGAATAAAAACCCCTCCAAACATCCAGATCTTGTTCAAAAATGCCTTTATTAGAAGTTCTATGGAAAAAAAAATATATATATATATATAAACAACATACAGTACAAGTTTATGCTGCACACTTTGTATACATACTCCAACTCCAGCTGACGTTCGTTTATTACATTCAGTGTTGCTTTACTTCATCTAAAAAGTTAAAGTAATAGTTATTAACCAACTACAAAACTTAATATCCCCAGTCAGCATGTCTAGAGAAGCACCGTTGAAAGACAGAGAATCTTTCATTAGGAATGGTGCGTTCAAATATTCTAAAAGTAGAAAAATAAACAACGAAATAGCATCTCACTCACCATAACAAAGGCATCTTGATCTAGGAGCTACATTCAATTCGATTGGCTTTAGATATACACCAAAGCAACTGCTTTATTAGGTTAAACTATGTGGGATCTTCAACCCTAGCAGGCACATATTAGCTAGTTATTAACCTCTAGATAGGAGAATGCTACATTCTCTGGCACTAGACTGCAATCGTCACACAACTGTGAGCAAATGGACACTTTATTTGGTTGAAGGTAAATGAAAATAAGAAATCAATTTTTGTGTGCAAAGAAAAAAAACAACTATCTTCTTTTTAACAACTATTTTAATGATGTCCTTACTACCTTTCTGAGCCTTGAATGTGTCAGTTGCGTTGCGGTCTATGCAGGATCAGAAAGCTCTCGGATTTAATCAAAAATATCGTAATTTTGTTTTCCGAAGATGAACAAAGGTCTTACGGGTTTGGAACAACATGAGGGTGAGTAATTAATGACAGAAGTTTAATTTTTGGTTGAACTTAATTTTGAGAAAGTTGCATCTGTGCGACATAAAGTTGAAACTATGAGAAATAGTCTCAATTTTAAGAAATGAAGTAAAATATATGTGAAATATAAAGTCTGAAATGTGCGAGAATTGTCTCGAGAAACAAAGCCACATCTCTGAGTAATAGTCTCAATTTTGACAAAGTAAGTCTTAGAAATGTATGTAAAGTTGCAACTGTGAGAACTAGTCTCAATTTTGAGACACTACTTGGATAAAAGGCTATAACAATAATAGCAAGTCAATCGTCTGAAATCGACAGCCTGCTGAAGATTGGCAAACGTCTATTTGCGTCCATACTGGGCGACTCCGAGCCACTGATTGTGCCAGAGGAACAGCAAGAGCCACTCAGGTACCCTTCGGGATCGGAGAGGGAATCCGGCGGGCTTGGTGGAGAATCGAACACTGGAGACTCTGAGAGTGGATGCATGGAGGGAAAGTGGCTCATTTTGAAAGGTGGCGACGGGGGGCAAGCGTTGGTCTGGATGTTACTGTACAAGCCACCACTGGTATGATGGGTAAAAGCACTATGGGTCTGAGAGATGATGGGGGCAAGAAAAGCCTTAAGATCCTGATCGGGGAACGTGAACACATTCAGACAGGGTGAACTGGTAGTGAGTGTGCAGTTGGGCAGCGGGGGCGTGTGTGATGTTGGGTTGTCAATCAAAGTGGACTCGTTGCTGCAGGAGCTGGAGAAGCCGGAAAAGCTCAGGCTGTGGTGCAGCTTCGGTCTTTCCCTCGGTCTCAGGAACGGGTTTGATGACTCTTTCTCTTCCAGGACACCAATCTCCTTGCTGAGCCTCGGTTGAGCGTTACACGTAGCAGCTCTGCGCTCATCTGCATTGTGAATGAAGTGGCAGCGAGGGCCGTATGGGCAGAAACCAATAGTGTGGAACGTGCGACATGGCTCCGTCTTGTACTTCGGGTGGCGGGACAGGTTTCTCAGTTCGTGATAGCCGTGAGCGAACTGACACTTTTCCCCATACTTGCACAAACCGTTTTCCTCAAAGGGCCGGCAGAGTTCGGTTTTGTAGCGGGTAGAGTTGATCTGAGAGCCGGGCTTTTGTTGAAGAATTTCCTGAAGTTGTTGACTGCGTTCCCCCGTGTCACTGAACGCACGGTCTCGGTACTTGTTTTCTTTATTCATGAAGGCAGGTGTTGAGCTCTCGAAACCGATCTGCAGCCTGTTGCTCATGTTGAAGTCCATGTGGTTTGATGAGTTACTCCTGAAATAACCAAAAGATCTGTTGCTGTTTGTATTGGAAGCAGCAAATGGGACCCCGAAATTCCTCTTTTCCAGCATATTTTGGAGATGGATTGCATTTGAATTTGGGACTTTTTCCTGAAAGAAAACAAACAGAATTTCTAAGCATGGATGTCAAATAAGTTTAAGAGGTATCACCATTAGTTTAACCAACAATTAGCAATAAAATACAGGAATGAAAACACTATTGTACATGACCATGAGGTGGCATAAGCTATAGGACAGTATAATAAAAAACATAAAAGATTTTGAAAAAAAAAAAAGTTACATTTGGTAAATGGCAGAATGACTGTTAAATGACTTAATCAAATTATCATCGTTAATGATGGAATTAAATGAAATATGTATACTAATTTAAAACTAAATAAATATGACAAGATAAACCCCATGCTTGATGCATTTCTGTGTTTGTAGGGTTTTATTTGCTCTGTGGGGTTAAAATTGTATATGCTGTACTATTTGAAATAAGAGATTTAAAAATGAAAGAGTGTGGCATGTTGTTTTGAACATATAAATAAATCATAAATGCATTCACAAAACCTAAAATCAAGGTTTTCAACTGATGTTACAGCTTACATCAGTACTGTGGTACGTTTGTCACAACAGACCTCCTTGTACTTGACAATTTGAGTCTAAGAAATGGATTTCAGAAACGACTTTAATTTGTAGCATACATATATGTGGTTATTATATCAAAGTTTGTGACACATAACGCAAAAACCCCGTCTGTAACAGAGTTACAGAAGTTAAAACAAAACGAGTTACAAGACTCCCGGTCTCCCAACAACGCGTTGTTATGAAGACTAGTGAGTAAACGCAGAGCTCTCATGTTACAAGTTTGCCAGCGCGGATAAATTGAGGAAACAAACAAAGACCAACAAAATACTAAGATAAGCTTAGAAAAAAAAACCCAGAAGTGAATAAGTCAAATATAAACTCTTACCCTGTTACATTTGGTAAATGGCAGAATGACTGTTAAATGACTTAATCAAATTATCATCGTTAATGATGGAATTAAATGAAATATGTATACTAATTTAAAACTAAATAAATATGACAAGATAAACCCCATGCGTGATGCATTTCTGTGTTTGTAGTGTTTTATTTGCTCTGTGGGGTTAAAATTGTATATGCTGTACTATTTGAAATAAGAGATTTAAAAATGAAAGAGTGTGGCATGTTGTTTTGAACATATAAATAAATCATAAATGCATTCACAAAACCTAAAATCAAGGTTTTCAACTGATGTTACAGCTTACATCAGTACTGTGGTACGTTTGTCACAACAGACCTCCTTGTACTTGACAATTTGAGTCTAAGAAATGGATTTCAGAAACGACTTTAATTTGTAGCATACATATATGTGGTTATTATATCAAAGTTTGTGACACATAACGCAAAAACCCCGTCTGTAACAGAGTTACAGAAGTTAAAACAAAACGAGTTACAAGACTCCCGGTCTCCCAACAACGCGTTGTTATGAAGACTAGTGAGTAAACGCAGAGCTCTCATGTTACAAGTTTGCCAGCGCGGATAAATTGAGGAAACAAACAAAGACCAACAAAATACTAAGATAAGCTTAGAAAAAAAAACCCAGAAGTGAATAAGTCAAATATAAACTCTTACCCTGTCGAAATCATATATGGAAGACAGCACTGAAGCAGACATTTTCTATAAGTGAGTTCCAGTTTAGGGGGAAAAAGTTGTCGGACCGAGAAGGATCCTTGTGCACTCAGAGAAATCCACGGCTGAACGGAGTTGGAAAGGCGCTGGAGTTCTTTGGAGTTGAGCAGCACAGGTTTTGGGGAGTGTCGTACATGGGCAAAGTTTGCACATGTGTATAAATGCGTTGCAGCTGTTAAGTTTCAACAGTGCGCTGCCTGAAGCCCCGCCCTTCCCGCACGTGGTTTTGGTAACTCCCCCAGACTTCAGTAGCCCTAGTGCGCGCCGCCTGCCTCGAGACAATCAACACTACATAAATTCAACTCGGGTGCTTGAAATCCGATTCTCCTCTCCAACTCCTCTAGTTCCCTGCAGAAAGTATGCCACTACATTCTTGCCTTTTTAAGGCTGATTATTAAACAGTATTTCTATCTGAGCTACGTCCTATGAATAATGCACCACTGACTGCATATTGTTGTTTACGGATTTTGTTCATAGCCTAATATAGGCCTAGTGGTTCTCGAGAACCCCAGCCCTGCACATTTTGCATTTCAGGTCTTGCAGCCTCTACAGTGTCCCCTGTGTTGAAATGTGATTTTACATTATGATGGGTTTTTCAATTTTTGGAGTAGATTATTAACTCTTTATGTGGAATTTAACAGACACATGTTAAGATGAGTACAGTTTTAGATTTTTTTTTCATTTTGTGATTCTGAAATAAGGCTCATTCTCTCAGAGGCTGTATTTATTTGATCAAAAATACAGTAAAAACAATAATATTCTGAAATAGTGTTACCATTTAAAATAGCTGTTTTCTATTTTAATTAGTGCTGTAAAATGATTAATCGCGATTAATTGCATCCAAAATAAAAGTTTTTGTGTAATACATGTGTGTACTGTCAGTGTATATTTAATATATATAAATACACATGCATGCATATATTTAGGATAAATATGTTGTGTGTGTGTATATATATAAATTATATGAATATACATTTATGCATGTAAATACATGTAAATATTGTAAAAAAATATGTATATACTGTATGTGTGTGTATTTATATATACATGATACATATACACAGCACACATACATATATTATGTAAACAAAAACTTTTAATTTGGATGCGATTAATCATTTGACAGCACTAATTTTAATATATTTTAAAATGTAATTTATTACAGTAATGGCAAAGCTAGATGTTCAATATTATTACTCCAGTCTTCAGTGTCACATGATTATTTAGAAATCATTCTAATATGCTGATTTGCTGTTCAAGAAACATTTCTCATTATTATCATGTGTTTGTGCAAACTGTGATACATTTTTTTATCAAGTTCAAAGCAATCTGTATTAATCCGACACTAGTTTGACTAGTAAACCCATTCTGTTATGTTCATAATTGGTTCAAATTTAGTCTGGCCAACTGGTTAAATGCATGCATAAAAATTTCATTGAGTGAAAACATTATTCGTTTCCACACTGAACTCATTGACTTATGGAAAGAAGAGCTGCCTAGTACAAGCCATGTTTGTGGGATCCTAGTTCAGTGGCTATTTAAGGTTCAGTCTATGTGAAATTCCCATCACTTTAAACTGGCAGTTTCTCTTAGCAGTCCTCACCACACTTGCATCCCAAATGTAGAAATGATTAGACCTGTGTATTATGTAATATGTTACATGAGTTACAGGGCCATCTCCTTTTGCGTGATTCAACTTGTGTATATAAACTAAAGATTAACTGCTCATAGTGGATAGGAAAGTGGAAGAACACTAATCATAGATGCAGTTCTTGGCTACAAACCTTCAATTTAGAGCTCTAAATTACACGCAAAGTGCAAGCCTTCCATGATGGACAACTGAATCAACCCACTGAAAAATAAAAAATAAAAAGAAGAAGAAAACTCTCAAACAAAACTCTGTCCACAGACACCACTCATCCATTACACTGACTCCAGTTTTCGCTGAGCTGCTCCGATCATTCCAAAACATTACATCATTGCACAGAGAGGGAACATCGCTACTATGGCCAGAGCGTCTGCACAGGACTGTACACTGGCTCCTTTGTGATGTCCACAATGTGTGTCCAAGGCAACCACTAGGTAGAGAGGACATCCCATAAGGGAATGGTTCTTGTCTTCTTCTGGACAACACATGGTAATGTTGAACATTCTTTCTCTGTCTGTACTGTTGTCACACTGACTGTTTGAAGATACTGCTGCCAATGTCTGCTTGAGGTCCGTGTTGTGCGTATCATATTCTTTGCTGAATATGGACCATTGATGTCTCATGAAAGCAGTGTCAGGTTTGGGCCCATGTTTTCACCCCAGGATCTTCCCTTCAGGCAGTAGAGCATCCAGAAGCCATGTTTGAGGTCTGCTCTGCTTGTTTATGTACGGTTACACCCAGAGCTGAATTTAACCCCAGCTTCCATCTGCTGCAGCACCCAGGGCCTGACGGAGATGAGACCGGTTTGGGTCGGTCTGTGCCGCTCGCTTGCTACTAAGCACAGCTTGCTCCTATGTGTTATTATCGTCAGAGGCGTCTCCTCTGTGGCAATAATCTTTTTTAGACCTTTTTTTTTTTGCCTACGTTGACCTTAAGGTTCATTTAAGGTACTTTGTAGCCAGATTTCTTGTCAATTTTATAGTAAATATGAAAATATTTAAATCATAAATAAGGAAATATTTAACAAAGAATATTAAAAAGGAGGAAAACACCTTATAAAAAATATTTTTTGTCAGACTGTCATTTTCCTAAAGAGAATTTTTAATTGGCATTTTATCTAATTGTTTTTAGCTAGATTTCATGTCAATTTTATGGTAAATAAGAACAATTTTAAATAATAAACAAGGAAATATTTAATGAAGAATAATAAAAAGGAAGAAAACATTTTCTTTTTTATTTTGACTGTCATTTTCAGTTAGAAGGTTTTCTAGCATTTTATTGAATTTTGTTTAGATTTCTTGTCAAGTTTGTGGTAAATATGGAAATATTGAAATAATAAACAGGGAAATAATTTCCAAAGAATATTATAAGGAGGAAAATACATGACGATAAACATTTTGGTCATTTTGAATGTCATTTTCATTTGTAAGACCATTTTCTATTAGCATTTTATGATATTTTACTTTTAGCCAGATTTCATGTCAATTTTATAGTAAATATGAAAAGTTTTAAATAATAAAATGAGAAAATATTCAACAAAGAAAATGAAAGAGGGGGGGGGAAACACATCATTCATCAATATTTTCACATTTTCACTTGACAATTTTCTTTTAACTTTTTTTTATTTATTTTGTTTTAGCCAGACTTAATGTCATTTTTATGGTAAATATGAAAAAAAATTAAATAAGGAAACATTTAATGAGTAATGTTAAAAAGGTGGAAAATATGTCATAATTTTCTTTCTCATTTTAACTTGTATTACAATTTTTTATTAGCATTTTATCAAACGTTGCCACTTTATTCTAATATAGGCCTACTCATGCACCCAACCTTGTTTTCAGATGGCATTTTGGGAGATGACACTCTAAACTGGTGCTTTTCCTCCCTCCTCGTCATGCCACAGAGTTGGTATTCTGGGCTTCAGTGTGCCCTATTGGCCAAGCCACAGCCCGACAGCCTTTCATTACACTAGCCGAAGGAGGTGGCCTGGACATCCCCATCGAAGACACCATCACCACACCCCAAAGTGTGCCCAGCTCCGAGCTGTTCCCTGGATACATCAACAAGAGAGATGAGAAAACAGCCGCTCTGTTTGTACATCATTTAACCGGCAATCATCAAGGTAACCACTTCTCAATCTAAAAGCTTGAGGGCTGTCTTTGTTGTAGCATAATTTGATGATATTGTGGTGACATAAAATCACCATTTTGCTGTGATTATTTGTGAGGTTTAATTAGAAAACAATATTAATATGCAGGTATTTGATCACGTTTACTGTCATTCATAAAATCTGAATTGTTGTTTCAGCCTGACCTATTATAGATGGGCTTGTGATGGATTGTTCATTCATCCAGGGTGTTTTCCCGCCTGTGTTAGAAGTTGCTCTGGCATCTCTGCAATCCTACATAGAACAAGCGGTTTGGAAACTGGATGGATGGATGTCATGGCTGGAACTACACCGCCACCTGCTGATCCAATAGAACTTGCTCGGCAGTTCCTTCCTTCCACATTCTATTAAAGTATGTACTTTAGTAAATTAGTGACATACATAATATACAGTTGAAGTCAACAGTTTACATACCTACACCTTGCAGAATCTGCAAAAAGTTAATTATTTTACCAAAATAAGAGGGATCATACAAAATGCATGTTATTGTTTATTTAGTACTGACCTGAATAAGATATTTCACCAAAAACATGTTTACATATAGTCCACAAGAGAAAATAATAGTTGAATTTATAAAAAATTACCTTGTTCAAAAGTTTACATAGACTTGATTCTTAATGCTGTGTTGTTACCTGGATGATCCACAGCTGTGTTTTTTTTCGTTTAGTGATAATTGTTCATGAGTCCCTTGTTTGTCCTGAACAGTTAAACTGCCTGCTGTTCTTCAGAAAAATCCTTCAGGTCCTACAAATTCTTTGGTTTTACAGCACTTTCCAACAATGACTGTATGATTTTGAGATCCATCTTTTCACACTGAGGACAACTGAGGGACTCATATGCAATTATTACAGAAGGTTCAAACGCTCACTGATGCTTCAGAAGGAAAACAATGCATTAAGAGCCAGGATGAAGACGTGGACATTTTTCTTATTTTGCCAAAATATCATATTTTTTCATTTAGTACTGCCCTTAAGAAGCTACAGAAGATAGTTACATGTTTCCTATAAGAGAAAATAAGATAAATTTACCCTGATCTTCAAATTCGGCTCTTAATGCATCATTGTTTTCCTTCTGAAGCATCAGTGAGCGTTTGAACCTTCTGTAATAATTGCATATGAGTCCCTCAGTTGTCCTCAGTGTGAAAAGATGGATCTCAAAATCATACAGTCATTGTTGGAAAGGGTTCAAAGACACAAAAATGCTGGAAAACCAAAGAATTTGTGGGACCTGAAGGATTTTTCTGAAGAACAGTAGGAGGTGTAACTGTTCAGGACAAACAAGGGACTCATCAATATCACTAAAAACAAAAACAAAAACACAGCTGTGGATCATTCAGGTAACAACACAGTATTAAGAATAAAGTGTATGTAAACTTTTGAACGGGGTCATTTTTATAAATTCAACTATTATTTTCTCTTGTGGACTATATGTAAACATTTTATGTGAAATATCTTAAAAGGTCAGTACTTAATAAACAATAACATGCATTTTGTATGATTCCTCTTATTTTGGTAGAATAATTAACATTTAGCAGATTCTGCAATGTGTATGTAAACCTTTGACTTCAACTGTACATGATTAATTTAATGAGTGAGACTATACCAGCTAATTAAGCTTTGCATTGTTGTAATGTAATAATAGGAAGAATAAAATGTGTATAGTTAAAGAGGTAATGTCTGTCTGCAGCAAGTTGACAATTGAACTTTAGGTTTGTCAATTTATTGCATTTAAGAGTCAATGTTACAGGTAGATTTTGAATTGATCAAATGATTACATCTTTGATTGTGATTTATCTGCATGTCAATACTATACAGTTCACTAGAGGGCAGTATGGTCATATTTTACATCAAAATGGCTATACTTGTGATGGCCACATTTCAGTCTTCACAATAGAGTGAAACATGTCAAAAACTAACTTATGAGAACATATCCTGTGGTCTTTCATATTTGAAACGTAAGTCTTATTTGATTTGTCTTTCTTCTGCTTTAATGACAGATGGAGCTGCAAGAACTCCACAAACCTGATGATTCATAATGAGCATGATTTGAGAATAATTCAGTGAGCAACTTGTGATTCTGACCGTCTGACCGTCAATGTCACATAACTGTTTTTCATAGTTACTTAGAAATAGATCTGCAGAATCTTGAATATGTATGAAATAAATAGAAATACAATCATATTTATTATTAATGATATTCTTTGTTTTAAATTGGCAGAAATCCTAAAACACTATTAAAACACTTTTACTTACAAATAGTGTTGAATCTGTAAAAATGGTTAAATATACATTTAATATAATGTTAATTACAATTATTTACAAAAATAATAAATGTGATTGTTTTCATTTTTTCAAAATCCTAAAATTGTATTACCTCGAAATAGTGCCGAATCGGAAATATTTATTTACTAAATAATAATAGTATAATAATAATATTGGATAGTAATTACAATAATAACAATATTCTTTGTTTTACTCGTTTTTTTTGGGAAATCCTAAAATATTACCGCTATTACCTTGAAATAGTGACAAATCTGAAATAATAATTAAATAAAAGTCATAATAATCATGCTAATAATAATGTAAGAATGTATAATGTAATTCTAATAAAATATTCTATTATACTATTCTATTACACGATCACTGTTTATTAGTCATAAATGATTTTGAAGAAACATCTCGAGTTGGTGTGTTCTACAGCTGAAAAATATCTCACAATATAAACAGTTAAAAAGAGTATAAAACCAAAGCACACCATGTTCACACAACTGCTTACCCTGGCCTTATTTGTGCCTTTAAAGCAGTGACTATTTGCTGACTATTCGGTGCATAAAACTTTCATTCGGTGCATTAATGCTGCTGAGTGGATTAATGTGCAGAGCGCAGGAGCTGCTTGGCCGAGGCGGCCTAACGGACACTGGAAGTGAAAAGCTGTCTCATGCTTGATTGGACCTTACCTCATCATAAACTCACGCAACCTGGCAGAGTGAACTCTGACCCCCGTCTGCGCCTAAACTGTAGTGACACGGTCAAGGTGACATGGCAGAGTGGAGCTGACTGAGGGAAAGGCTGTGCGCTGGGCTGTAGCCCAACATGGTCACATTAAGAGTCCACCAGTAAATAATTGAGACCGAGCAGTCGCAACAATGCAAACATGTTGTTATTAGTGTTTCACTTCAATATTCATAGCTGCGAGAGGGGACGGGGTGCTCGGAAAGTAGTGATGGAGGGTAGTGATGCGTTTATGAGTGTGTGGTCTGTGTGCTTCTTTATGTGGACTGGGGGGTTTGCATGATGGGGTGGGTGTTATGATGCCAGACCGTATTCTTTACAGACAGTGACACCTAACCCAGTTTAAAGAAATAGTCCAGGTTAACTGACATCATCTGTGGTATAATGTTGATTACCACAAAAAAAAAAATAATAATAATAATTTTGACTTGCTCCTCATTAACAAAATATAAAATGTATGGTGAAGGCTGATTTTTGGAGTAGTTTAAAAGCAGTATTCTGTAAAAGAAGTATTATTTCAGTTGTAATGCAGTTCATATAACTTTACAGTCATTTTAGGTTTATGCCATTGTGTTGTCATTGTGATGAAGTTGTAAAATTGGATATATAACTTGGGTTAATAAGCTATTTTTTTCACACTTAAATCACCTTCAGGTTATAGTTCATTCAAAAATGAAAATTGTTTTAAATTGTACTCACCCTCAGGTCATCCAAAATGTACATGAGTTTGTTTCTTCATCCGAACAGATTTGGAGAAATGTAGCATTACATCATTTGTTCACCAGTGGATCCTCTGCAGTGAATGGGTGCCGTCAGAATGAGAGTTCAAACAGCTGAGAAAAACATCACAATAATTCACAACAGGCTAATCCACACAACTCTAGTTCGTCAATTCACATCCTGTAAGGTGAAAATCTCGAATAAATTCCTCATTAATATTTCAACTGTAAACCGTCATTTCTGGGCAAAACACCATAATGCTTCCTTCAGTGAAAAAGTCCATTCCCTGTTGTACTCCCAAAATCCACCAACATATTTGTTTAGCACCGATTTGGACTGTTTTTGCTTGTAAACTGTGCTTGATCTGTGCATATTTCTCTCCCGATTCAGACGAGATGACCTTTTCAGCCCCCCAAAAATTATAATATTAAATGAATGTTTTTTATCAGCTTTTTGGACTCTCATTCTGACGGCACCCATTCACTGCAGAAGATCCATTGGTGAGCAAGCGATGTAATGTTAAATTTCTCAAAATCTGTTTCAGTAAAGAAACAAACATCTTGGATGACCTGAGGGTGAAATTAAACCAATTCTCATTTTTGGGTGAACTATTCCTTTAACATTTTTATGATTTTCTTTTGAATTTGTTTTTAACATTTATTGATTTGCCCCATGCTTCTATTGTAGGTGCTACACAGTAACCCAGTTTTTTTTTTTAATAAAAGGAGATAAAAGTGAACATAGATTTTTATGGTTATCAACATTATGCCACAAACTTGTATTGTACCCAAAATGTTCCTTTAATTAACTAAGATTGTGTTCAAAATGATATATATAAAACAGAATTTCATCTGATACACAAAATAAATGTTCATTCTTATTATGCCATTTTGCCATGCTCTAAATATAACATTCCTCAGCTAAGCAGTTGCCAAGCCGCTTATGGGGAACACTACAAAACCATATACAATGTGTTATTTAAGTTAAATATCATGGAAAGAATAATCTTTCCCAGATAAAGATCCAGTACATCTCAAATATAGATTAGGGAGTGTTTTTTTATGATGAAACTAGAGCTATATCCAGTGCTCTGGATTCATCCCATCTTAACAGCTTTCGGAACCCCCCTACATGTAGCATCCAGATCCCTTCATTTTTCCCCAAGCGTAAGTCTCAATCAAACTTGCTCTGTGCCTTATTTTTTTAGTCTCGGCAGATTAATCTGGTTGCTGAACTGAGCATCAGCAGCTGCTCCTTATCCTTATCATCGCTGTAACGACCGGCCAACCGTCGCCTCCCACAGAATCCTGCAGGGACCTGAATTAATACTCTGTATAATTCCACACAATCCCAAGAAAAAAAATCTCGCCCTGCTGCCAGGCCACTTGACTCGTGTGTTCCAGCGGGGTCTGGATGGCACCAGCAATCTCTGTAATCAGTCACTAAGCCCCTGCGCTGCTCAGTTCAACTGCTTCCTCAGAGCATTTAAAAAAAGAGCAGAGCTGGGGTGCATTGTGTGTCAAACATGTATGTTTATCCTGTCCACTAATTAAAATGGGGACGCTTAACATGGCTTCCATATGTAGATACATGAATACACATGCAAACAAACACACATACGCATTGTGAATTAAGACACCATGTTGAAAACTATTTGAAAAATTAAACTCATCCATTTAGATATATCAAACAGTTAAAATAAAAATCTTCTCATTTGTTATAAAGACAATAATTACTGTTAGATCTTTGAATAAACTGAAAATGTAATATGGTATTACTTGATAAAATAGAAAAAAATAAAAAAGATATTTCTATAATTTAAAATGAATAATTATTTATTATATACCGGTATTATTATTATAGAATTATTTTATTTTTGAAATGTTTCGCTTGTGCTTTCTTTCTTAAAAAAAAAAAAAAAAAGCCACTTGGCTAGATATTTTGGTAATGCAAGGAAATTCATGCCCAAATGCGTTTTGGGGCTACTGCATATTATCCCATATTTAAATCATATTTGCACACTTATATAAACATACACAATCCTTCTTAGGTGCCATATATGAAATGAAGACAAAATGACTTTCTGGATGCTTTTCAAACCAAGATGATTCTGTTTCTATATCAAACAATTAATGCCAAAGAAAGATTGAAAAAATATTAGATTTGAAAAATATTATCTGCACATTATTATATTATCTGCATTTATACTGATTAAAAAATTTATGTGAAGTGTGAATAAGTGAATGTGTGAATGTAAAGTGGAAGTAGAGATAAATGAGAAATACAATAGTTATTTCTCGTTAGAAAAAATGTTACTTATAAATGTGTGATTTTCATTGACATAACCAACTGCTCTGAATCTATGCTGCCTTCAAAACTGACCAGATGAAGGCATCTTTGACGCCAAGATATTATGAAAATATTGGATTTGTATGGGCCATGATTTGGTGGTTGATACAATATTTCTTATACTTTTTGGCCTTGATTTTTGTTAGATTTTGACTTCAGGTTTCTTCAGTAGTCATTGTGATAGTACTTAAGCATCAAAACTATATGAAACATTGATTGAACATAAAAAAATCAGATATTTCCTCCCTTTAAAAAATTAAACAAATAAAAAAAATTATAATAGAAAATGTACAGGCAGCTCATTACAAGGGACTTTATCTATTAATTTTATGGACATTTATGTTGACACAATGTATTGCAGTGTAAAATCCAAAGTACTGGTAAAACACCTGTAAAAAAATAAATACGGAAAATTCCTTTAAATCGTACAGTATACATTGTGCTCTATTTTTACAGACTTTTTTTTAGAGTGTAGTTCCCATCAGTGTACATGTGCATTAGACAAGTATATAACTTTATATATGCAAGGACAAACAGGCTATATATCTGACCTAAATGTATGTCTCCTGATCAGGAGGAAGTGAAAATGAGAGTGTGGCTTTGTGTCTCGTCTCCGCTGCGACATAATCAGAGCCCCAGATTTATGAGCAACCAGATCCCTCCTGAGGCTTAGCGCTGTAAACAACTTGGATCAGGCCACAGATTTAAGAACATGTACCACTTGCACTTGGTACTTTTGGTCAAAGAAGATTAGACATGACAATTTTTAATTTGTTTCTGAATCCGTTTTAAAAGACGATAATGCCTCCAGTGTCTTTTTATAGCATAGGGTCTGATATTCTTATAAGAAGAAGCCAAATCAGGGTTTGAGCAATCAGAGATGAGAACCACAAGAGATAAGGATCATGGGAATCACTGGCACTTTACAAATTAAACTGGTGCAAATTAAGAATCCTGCAAAGGTGCTGTTGTTGCTCTAATGAAACTTTAAATCTGTACCACATATAAATAAAAACATCACACTGGTTTGAGGCACAACCACAAAGTGTGT